ATTCGACTGTGTATACAAACTTATTTTATTATCTAGGTTCTATCCATAAATATTATTGTATAGACAAAATATTACCGACAGGAACTTTATATATATATACATATATATTTTTCCCAAATATACAAATGCATTCTCATATTAGGATTTCAAGTTCATTAAAAATTTATAAAATTTATTTTGTTTTTGTTTTCAATTTTGAGTGGGTTATTTTTTATCTCTTAATTTATTCTCAATAAATTGTTATTAATTTGAGATGCTCATTTCAAGTGATTCATACCTTCATACCAATTGAATTGTTTGACAACAATATTGTGCTATGCAATAGAATTTTTATTTGTGTTTATTATTGAAATTATTTTAATAAATTTTAAGTTGTAAATAAGTTTCGATAATTTTTAAATTTAATTCTTAATATACAAAGAGATTACAATTTTAATATTTGTATAATTATGCAAGATTTCTAAATAGAAGGTGTTGTCAATGAATAAATATACAAAGTACCATTTTAAGATTCTAAGGTTGTGTGTATATAAAAGTGTCATACTATAGACATCATTGGGAACTCAATATTAATTATTTTATTTGTATTTCGTTTTGAACACATATAACAGTAATAAAATTAGTGCATTTCTGTTCACTGTTAAAGTACAGAACGACCAAATTAGATTTACTTCTTCTTAATTTTTTTTTTGTTAATTTTGAATTATTTCATCGAAATTCTCTAACTACTCATAGAATTTATCTTAAATTTAATTTAAAACATTTTATTTTTAAATCATTATCATATTAAAGCACTATAATTTTTACAAGGCAGCTTGGCTTGCTATGCAAATTATAAAAGTCATTGAAGAAAATTCGCAAAATTATAATTATTTTCTTATAATAATCATAAAAAAAAATAAATTTTCAAAGATTCACATTTTTCTAAGTCTTCTATAATTTACCGGTTCATTGTTGTAGGTGAGTGATGCTCCTACGTTCATCATCAATTATTTACAATAATTTTCTTTGTCTTTCATAATGAATAAGATTTTTTCAAGTTCATCTCACTTAAAATTCAATTTTGATTCATTTTCCTTACCTCGCCCAAAAATATTCAAAAAAATTCAAAATTATACTTCTATTTTAAACAAGATTTTTGCGTTTTCTTGTTGGCTGTGAAAGATTAATGACCGATAAAAAAACAAAAAATGTTTTAGTTTTGTTTTTTTTTTAAATATGTTTCGGAAATGAAAAATAGAGATCTGAAAATTTAAACTATTCAAATTGGGAAAATTAACCTTGATTAACCTTCAAATTTGAAAAATTGTTATTTAAATAACAAGCAACAGGTATCGCATAATTGAAGATATTAAAAGTGAAACAAAAATAATGAACGGAAAATGAGAGAAGGAAAAGCAAAAACTTATGAGAAATATGAGGGAAAAAATTTGGCATAGGAAAACGTATAATTATTTTTATGAAGAGAAGGACACGAATAGACAGTTATAACTATATTCTAGAATTTACAAATCATTTTATTATTACATTTTTGGTGGAAAGGAACGAAATGTCTATTATGTAAAAATGTTGTCCCATTAGTAACCAGTAAGAAGACGAAAAGTGTTAAAATTCCTGACGGCACCAGTTTTATTCAAAAATTTATTTTCTTGTATATTGGAAACTATATGTAGAGTATTTGTATTTCTACATTCGTTTAAAACTTTATTCAGCATCTATTTGTTTTTTATTTTTAATTTGCAGTGTGACTCTGTGACTTTAAATAAATTTGTAAACTCTTAACATTATTAAAATTCAATACTATTTTTCCAATGTAACAAAACCATAAAAAAAAATTAAACAATGGAAAAAATATTTTGTATTTATTTTAATTTCAATGACATTTCGCACATTTTATATATTTATCTCGCTTTAGCATATTTATTCTTAGAATTTAGAGATTGTAATAATTTAAAATGTTTAAAATAAATTTATTTTCCTATTCTTTAAACTAACTTTAAGAAAACGATTAGTTTCCCTCATAAGCAGTGATAAGAATGTTAAGAAAAATTTTCAAAAACAAAATTTAATCCCGATATTTTGATACCGAATACCGGCTATACATTTCTCGATTCGTAAAAAAAATGCATTTCTCGACAAAAATCAAAAATACCGAATGTTGTCGTGAATTTCGGAGTTTGATCTTAATAGTGCGCTACTAAATGCAGCAGGATTTTAATTAGAGTGTGAGAGGATTGTTCTAAATCATTTGTAATCTTGTCGATCTATAAAGTTTTAGGTTTTTATTGACATTTTTTCAATACAACCATTGACATTCTTTTTTATATAATTAATATAATTTAAATGTTTATAGTTCTTTAATATTCCCCTGTGTTTTGAAATATTTTGAAAGTCATAAATCAATATTTTAATATAAACTTAAGTTTTACTCACACACTTGTACATTGTGTGTGCCGTCGCTAATCAAAAACAAATTATTCTACTTTTTATAAGAAATGAGACAATGCTGTTTTAAAATGTTCTCTGACAATTAATTTGAACTATTTTAATTTCTCTAACAACATAATGTTTTTCGCTAATTCTTCTATTTACCAAAGCAACTACCATTAAATCAGATATTCTACTTCTGAATCTGAAATTCAACTTTTCATTTTGGTTCACTCATGTTCAAGTTTTTAAAAAATTTAAATATCTATTTTTAATTTTTCAAAATTTATAAAAATTGAATTGTATGATTTTGATTTTCAACCCCCTTTAGCAGTAAAAAATTTTATTTTCATTGTTAATGAATAATAAACGGTAATATCCTCTTTTGAGACATTTAAATACATTTATTATCTCATTTGTGTCCAAAACTATTTCAATATTCAAAATTTTCAATTAACACGTAATTTTATACACGTAATGTTGATAAACAATCTCTATAGAGAGAGAGAGAGAGAGAGATGTAATATTTAAAACAGATTACAGCATGTAGTGTCAACATAATAATATCAACAACCACAATATTTGATTTATTGCATACCACAAGAATAAAAAAACAACAACCATTCAAAAACAAAAATCATGTCATGCAAGTAAAACAAAATTTGTTGGTACCGCTTCTTCTTATTCAATTGCCGCTTTATTTTAAATATAGCGCATCAACTGTCTTATTTGTATGACATTTTTGTTTAATAACAAAAAAAAAATGGCAAAAAAACAGAAACAAATTCAACATCTTACATAAAAATTTCACTTATAAGTCAATCTGTAAATTTTCATTATAAATTCATTACACGAAATATTGAGAGCATTGCTGCTGTGATTTGAATTGGTTTGCGAAAATTTATAAAAAAAACAAAAACAATAATGAAGATTCTGTTATACATAAACAGAAATAAACATACATAATAATTTTCTTTTGTTAAACTGGTTATATTTGAGCATAATACAATTTAAAATTCTGGATCGAACATTTTCTTGTTTATAAAATGTATGATGACATTGAAGTATCATCATCATTCCTATAGCATATCATTATCATCTTAAACAAATCCGTAATTCAATAGACTGTAAATCGGTGATTTTTTTCCCCCAGATTTTCATTTTCATTATTAAATGCAATATTATATCATAGTGTTGTTTTGTTAAATGCGATAGAAGATGTCGAAATGTTTAAAATGGAACGTGATGTTGACTGAGAAATTACATATATTGTTGTTGTATATAGAAAACAAAAAAAAAACTGAATTCTTCTACATTTTATGGTTCATTATTATGTAATGAATTCATTGCAATATTATTAGATGGCAAAAGGAAAAATCGAAGAAGAGGATTCCCCCCCCCCCCCCCCTATTTGATTTTGTTATAATAGTATATTTGTGGTGCATGAAGATTTTATGAAGATTGCAATAAAATTAAATAGATTTTTTTTGTATATTTAATTTTTTATATAAAAATTAATTTTGATCTGAAAATCAAAATTTTTTTCTTTACTGAATCTATTCTAATATTTTGTGATCATAAATCAATGAATCTCAATATTGAGTTTGTTTGTATGTAAGTTATAATGTTATTTATGTATTCATGAACAAATTATAGTAAATTACAATTAATCGATTTTAATAGAATTGGAAATTAATTATAAAGAAAAAAACAACCATTTAATTGTTAATTAAAAATTGGAATTTTTTATTTGAATTTTATGTTAGATGAACTAAAGCAAAAAAAAATTTTAATTAATTGTAATTTATATGAAATTACAAAATTAATGAAAAGAGAATAAATATTTTTCTAATGAGAAATTTTCAAAGTTATTTTAGAAAGTCTAATGCAAATTTAACTTCATATATGTTGAACTGTATAGTTTTTGCAAATTAGTTTTATATTATAAATTAGATTTAATTGCTAATGTTATCTCACTACAAAGCTCTAATAACATTAACAAGTTCTGTGTTACGGCAGATTTTTTATTATTGCTTACTAAGTGTAGCATGAGGAATATAAAATTTCAAAACAATTTTCAGGGTAAGAGTATTGCTCTTCAACATTCTGTCTTAAATACAGTGATACCAAAATATAATACGGTAATTACGAAAATTAAGGCTTACCTGTTCCCGGTTTTTCTTGTCAATGTTCAATACAAAAATTGAATTCAACTCCGTCGAATCTATATTGATCTGCTCTGTTGTTTTGATAAAATGTTTCTGAATTACCATATAGTCGTTCCAGACTTTTGCTCATGTTGACATACTTTTCCTGAAACAAAAATATTTGCGCATTATGTATTGTTTGAACTATGTGTAACAACATGTTTTAACAAACAATTGAAACTGAATTTGAGATTAAGAAAAATTTAAGTGAATTTCATTAATCCTTTAAGAATTTAAAATCCAGTTGATATTTTTCGAATCCAAATTTATTTGATTCGAATTTCTTAAGCTCAAATTTTTTACATTTTTTACGTTATTTACATTTAGATTTAATTTTTAATTCACACAAATTATTTTTATTTTCAGTTGCACAAAAATTACATTATGCATCACCTAGCCCAATTCATTATGATTATGATAATTATGATAATTATTATGATGGAGGGCATTATGGGCATTATGATCATTATGGGCATTATTAGAGACAAAGAATATAACAAAAGAGCAACAACAAATTAACAACAAAATTTTTTATAAAATAAATTAAGGCAGCAGCATCTCAATTTCTTCCTTTTTTTTATGTACAATAATAATTCATTTTTTTTTATATATAATTATAAAACATTAAAAAAATATGTTTATTTTTTGTTTAAATAATTAGAATCACCTTGTAAAGTATAAAATGGAAAATTTTATTTATAAAGAATTTTCCATTTTTTACATTTTTTGTAAATATACTTATATATATAGCAATAACTCAATAATGTAAAGGATTCAAAATTTTCATTAAATAAAAAAGGACATTAAATTACAGAAATAAAATAAGATCAAACAAAATACCAAAATAAAATCAAATATAAGCGTTCAATTAACAAAAAAAAAAAAGTAAAGAGAAAAAAATAATTTAATAAATTTGTAAAAATTTTCATTTTAAAATAACATGAAAAAAAAACCAACAAAAAATATGTAAGTAATTCAATTAATTTAAAATATGTAGAATAATTTTTATAAGAAATGAAAAATTTAAAAAAAAAACGAAATAAAAAGGATAAACTTTCATAATTGTGTGTGTGTGTTGTTTTCTAAAATTATTTTGAGCATTAAGTACAAAAATGTAGGGAAAATACAATTAAAAAGAATTCTAGACTTCATAGTCTTCTAAAATTTTTATAAAAGTGAATTGTATGGGAAACAAGTCAGTAAACATTGAGCACTATGAGAAGAATCTATTTAATTGGGTAAAATCGTCATGTTTATTAGTTGAAATACAATTTGAAGTATTTGAATTTTGACATTTCATGTGACTCTTTTTATTTATAAGCGACCAATACCTTTGTTTTAGAAGATTCTTTGTTATATGAAGATTTTACAAAATTTTATATTTTTAATATTTCCTAAATATTTGACTTGATGCAAAAAATTGTAAAAAACTATATAAAAATTCAGAAAATAGGAAAATGGCTACTTTAGGCTATTGAAGTAGCCATTTGTCAATCCCAGCGCAAATTGATTCATTTTATTGAAGTTTATGTGAAAAGTAAATAAAAAATACTCGAAGTAAGCAAATTATTAAAAAAGAGAAAAAAATAAATAATTTTGTTTGCATATTCAAAATTTCTAATATTGTCTACAAAAAACATTTGGAATATGAAAGTTGAATTATACAAAGGTTCCAATGTGTCTGAAACTTCAAAATCTGTGGAAGAGCCTCACATTATTGTCAAATATTTTAATTCATAAATTAATTTTTCATCAATTTCATGTCAAATCTTGACATTCTGATTCAAATTAATAATTAAAAAAGACGAATTGGAGTAGAATATCAAATTTTTATCTCTAATGGGGGTACTTATTAGCTTATAATTTCAAAAATTATAAAATGAATTGGAAAATTTTAATAACAATATTGATTATTAATTAAATTGCGAAAAATTTTTTTCCATGCATAATATTGGCACTCTTCAGATCATAATATTCAGCGGATTAATTAAGAAATAATAATAATTTTTATACGAAGTATGTTTCTTAATTCTTCTTCTTCTACACATGTTTCTAAATTTAAAATATTCAAAATTATTTGAACATTAAGAATATATTCCATTCCTAAAATCTTTAATTATCAACTGTATGGGAATGTTATGAAGAATATAAATAGATACCTATCTATAGGCACTATGTAGGCTGAGCGCAAACAAAAGATTTAGAACAGAAACTTGTTATATTACACTTTCAAGAAAGCACTTTTACTTTGATGAAAGCTTGATTTAATATTTTCAGTTTTCACTTTCAACAGAATTTTTAAAGTGCTTTTGCCAAAATTCAATCTATTAATGAATCGCAAACGTATTTAATCAAATTGATCTTCACTTTCACATTTTGCAAAGTATTTCTGAAAAATAAAAAAATTATTAAATAAATTCCTTATGTAAGTAATTTAAAATTGAAGAAAAAGGGTACAAAGCCCCTTCATTAAAGAATTAAGGAGTTCATATATTTTAGTAATTTTCTATTTTGCAAATTAAAATTTTATATTTTCAACATTAATTTAACCTAGTTTCGTTTTTACATATGCAAATAATCACACTTGTATTAAGAAAAGCAATGATACTGGTGTAAATAAAAATTCACATAATTTTAAATAAATTTTCCGACATTTTTTATAATTTTCATTTATTTTTCTATTATGTTCATTAAACAATAGAAAATATTATAATATGTAGGGAGATTAAATTATCAAGATAATAATATCATAAAGGAAATCTAAAAAGAGTAGATAAAGGTATTATTGGCATAGGAACATATACAACAAATATTGTAAATTTTGAGGTTAAGGTGTATTGAATCGGAATTTGAAATAAAATTTATTATAAGTACACGCATTACACATAAATTACATGAAAATTCGAGCGTTTAACATATAATGCTTTTTCTTATTTTGTATTCTTATGATATTTATAGGGTGTAAGAAAATTCTGTGGAGTAGCTAGTTACTGGGAGTTTTACTTTTAAATATACATAAACTACTTTTAAAACTGCAACTCAAAATTAGAATTTCTACAAAATTAGTCTTATATTTTATAATGCGCCCTATCAATTTTATGTGTGTATTCTAAAATTTTTTTGCACAATAATCTAATTTTTTGTACATTTTTAGGCTTTTGTCTACTTAGTGCTTAATTCTTGATACATTTTGAGGAAATTCAGAGGGATTATCTTCAATTGTGAGCAATATTTTTTGAAAAATTTTCACGAAGTTTGAGATAGTTTAACATTTCAGTTTCATCTCTACAATAGCTAAGATTAACTGAGCAAAAATGAAATAAACCTGAGCTGAGAATCAAAATTTATTCCGTTTTTATTAAATTAGCAAAAGTACAACAAAGTTTCTCTTTAATGAATTATGTCCTAACTGTAGCCATTTTCTAGTTGCAAATTACAAATTAAATAAATTCATTTCTATTGCGTTGAGTATTGCAATTGTCATTCAAAATAGCGTCAAGTTTTTTGCTGAATTTGCTGAACTTCTGTATATGACGAATATTTTTTTTTTATATATGACGAATATTTTTTTTCCACCCTGCAGTTTGAAAGCATTTTCTGTTTTTTTTAACACATAATTTAACATGTAATTGATATCAGCATAATTTTATTCAGTTCGACTTCTGAACTTCAAAATTTTTATTGTATTCTTTGTTATTTTATTTGCGCTGAGAAGCTTTAACGAAACTAAATAAATCAAATCTCATTATCAAATTTCAAATGTTAATCTTTATTAATTTATCTCTTTTGTGTTTTGTATTTTTCTTTTCAAAGATATACAATATGCTAATTAATTAAAATTTGTCAATCGGTTTGTCGAAGTTTTTGTAATGTTGGCTTCTGTAGAGAAATTTGGGATTTAATTAAAGATTAATAAATTTGGACCGACAGTAAAACTTTAACGTAATGGCTTATTAAATTTTCAGATACCCTTTAAGGATTTGAACAATTTTTATTTGTATTTGTTCTTCAATTATGGTATAACTTGTAATAAAATTTAAATTAACAGGTTAATCTTCCAAATTTGAAAAATTTTTTTGAAAATAGTGAAAATCTTTCCAAGTCTATTACAATTGCATCAGGTGGGAAGTCATGAACGCTCTATTATTAATACAAGAGTGTGTGATTTATAAAAAGTAATATTAATTGTGTTACTTATAAATAATAATTAATATATTTTAATAATAAAAATTTCTACTAAGTAATGGCACTTTTTAATAAAGTACTTGTTATAATTAACTTAGCAAATTTATTGTTATGGGATATTTTTAAATTCTCGTAAGGATTTTTATCCAATTCGTAATTAAAATATTCCACAAATTGCCGGACATTTATAAACGAATAACCTTAAAATATAAAAATCTTTCTAAGATTAAAAAAATTAAAATACCTACAAAAAGCTTCTAAATGAAGATGTTAACGTTTTTTATAAAATTAATATGATATAAATCAGATTTCCCGCAAATTTCCCTTATGGGACATTAAAAAATTAAGTCACTCATTTATTCACTCATTTAGATTTTTTTTTCCTTTCATGTTTTAATTTTTCTCTTAATGTTTATAAAAATTAATTTTAACATTTAATTCAACTCGTAGTTTTGAGAATAATTAAAGTACTTTTTCTAAATTTAACCGACAAAATTAGTTCCATTGCCTAAATATATGCAAGAATCCCCATTTTCAAAATAGTAAAATTTCTGTCATACAATAAAAGTTAATGGAATGCAATCTGATGAACTACTATTTTAGGTTTGAGTTGGTATTCAAATTGCAATAGGCGAATTTCAATGAGCTTTATTGTTATTCATATTCAATTTTACTCAAAAATTTTCTTGCATACTTTTAGCTGAAAGTTGCATACTTCCAACTAAAATTTTCTCAAATTTTCTTGGTGCAAAAGGTGGAAAAAACAAGAGAAAAGCTTTTATGTTGCTATTGTTTTTTTTTATTAGTAATATGCAAAAGTTTCAAAGTTATTACTTACTAATTAAATCCTGTAGTTCTTAAACAATTTTGTTATAACTTAATGCATACTTCTAGGCGATAAAGCAACGTAGATACCTGCATAATGGAAAATCATACAATATTAGTGTAATTTAGGTTTTTAAAATAAAAAAGTTTTCGGTGGTATGGAATAAAATTTTTATTGTATAAACTACATTTTTGAACCAAAATTTTATATAAAATGCGTAAGGACGTAAGTAATATACAAGATGTAAAACATGAAGGTATAGTACATACACCGTTTGCAAAAATTAAATTGAAAACAAGAATGCAATCTATACTGTGGTTACAGATTGATTTATTGCATGTGGAAGTAATAAACAACGATAGTAGCAATTTTTTGAAAAAACTTATTTCATAAACTCAGTCTGATCTGGAAGGTGATATGATATTTGTAAAAATTAAAAAAATTTCTTTTATATTCTTATTTACATAATTATAGTATGGTTATTCTATACCTGATTTTCACAAAAGTTCCTTATTGGCCACAAGTCATATAATATGGCATGTTAGTTGGGATATCTTGTATTCTTTCCAAAGAATATGTAGTATACAATTCAATTTTTTTTAATTTATTTTATGTTCTACTTCAAATTCACACTATAGTCTATTTTTTTTTATTATAGACCAAAATGAGAACTTAATCTCAATCAAAGACGTATGTACTTAAGTTTGAAAACAAAATTATTTTAGGACGCAATATTTTCCAAAAGTAATTCAAGTCCATATTTCCCTTAATATGTTTTCTAAAAAATTTGTAATTATGTAAGTTTTGTAATCTAATTTAGTAAAACAATTCAAACAATTGTTAATAATTTATTAACCGTGAAAATTTTATAATAAAAATTTAAAATTTTCTTAAAATTAGCACTACTCTTGACCTTAATATTGTTTTTTCTTCAAATTCAACAGATTATGAATATAATTTTCCTTTTTTTATACTGGTTATATCAAATTATACACTATAAAT